TCTCCCAAACAACATGCTTTTATTTTTAGGCAATTGCTTGATAAAGTGGAACTTTTGTTTGGCAGTAGAATCTTGTCACCAAGCCCATAGTGATTTTTTAAAAGAAAAAATAAGCAGCGTGTTTGTAGGTATCACAAAGAAAAATTTTTGAAAAATTTAAAGCTGTATCTTCCAAGATTTGTTAGCTGCAACTTTTTCTAACAGCTGATCCATTCAAAGTGGTTTTGAGGGGAAAAAAATCCATGTGTCCTCCCAGATCTCTCTACTATGTACTAGTACATTCTTTTCTCCTATACCCTGAGATTTATGTTGTTGTGTGATCAGGTATGTGACTTCATTAGCAGTAGTTTAAACTCTAAGTAAAGCAAAAATTGCAAATTAATTCATGGGAGGAGAAGGGCTGGTAGGGGGAAGGTGCTTGGAACCCAAAGGGACTTCTCCTTACCATCCAGAAGCCTCAGTACTGTAAGGATTATTTTAGGAAATCCCTGAATTGCTTATCTAGTTTATAAGCTCCTTGATGGGCAGTTTTTAGAAAAACATTATGTTGTTAGCTAAACCCCAGTAAGCTGGAAGCTTGGGAGTAACATAATGGGGGGGTAGGGGCAGGGAAGACGAGTTTCAGAGAACAGAGGCACATTACCCTAATCCTCCCAGCACACGCACCACACACAAACTTCCCTGTTCGTCAGGAGAAATGATTGCTGGCCTCTGCTTATGGGAAATGCCAGTCTGTCTTTCTTTCAATTATATCAGGGAATTTCTATAATCTTATAAGACTAACTGTAACTATCAGCATATTATATTTGCTGAGCATTGACTTTATACAAGGCAGTCCAGTGTGGTTGGACAATTAAAGGTATTTTATTCCACACTCTGAATGTTTTCCATCACACCAGAGTCGCTGTACCTCTCTGCTGCAGTGCTAAGTGTAGGCATACGTCGGCGGCAGCCGGATGACAGATTCTGAACCTGCAATAACATGTTAACATTCACAATGCGCAGGTATTTTAACTGTGAAGGAGGTTGGGGGTTCAATAAAATATTTGGGAAAGATATTTTTCTTGACTTTTGAGATTAGAATTTCATTTGAGTATAAAACAAGTCAATTATGTAGTCCGCTGATGTTTCTCTTAAAACTTTTTGAAAGTGTTAATGGGGCATCTGGGTGGCTCAGTCGGTTAAGCATTCGAGTCTTGATTCGGCTCAGGTCATGATGTCAGGGTCGTGAGATGGAGCCCCCACCACACGCCCGATGCTGGGCATAGAGCCTGCTTAAGATTCCCTCTCTCCCTCTCCCTCCACCCCTCCCACACCCCCGCCCCCCCACTTATGTGCACACGTGCGTGCGCGCGCACACACACACACATTCATTCTCTCTAGGAAAAAAAAAAGTTCAGCTTTTTGGATAAAAATTTTTCTATGATGTAATGCCTTCCAAAACTCATACTGAACATAACTAAATTTAATATTGATCATGTAATCATTATAAATATGACATATATTGGTATGCCTCCAGGGGCCAGTGTGGTTCACGTAACTAACAGCACCAAAACGATTTTGTAGTCTTTATACCTTTTTTTAAAAAGTCCTTTAGTGGTTTGCCTGCATCCTCCTTTTCTGTCAGGCTATCACTTCTTGGGATTATTGTAGACTTGCCTTGGCAGCAAGCGACCTTCTAACTGTAATTTGAGAAATTAGATCACCAAATTTGTTAAGATTATTTCTACAGCAAAAGTAATTTCATGTCACTCATTTTGGGCCTCATATTTTTTGTTGTATTTTGGACACTTGAAATTGCCCACAAAGGAAATTCTAGGTAGCAGATCTTAATGGCATATTACAAATTGCTGATGAAATTAAAAGTAAAATATACAGAAGAATAAGGAAATGCGTGGTCATCAGGCTGAGCAAGAGCCTGGAGGAAGCTTCCAAACTCTGTATTCAGTTGTGGGAGCAGTTTCTGACGTATTCCCTTTATCTGTGCCCAATGGGTGAAAGTGTACACACTTTTTCAGCTTACAAATCGATACATACAGGATTTCAATGACATAAATGCGAGTTTCTGTATTAGTAAAATGTTCACAAACACAGATGGGAATGTGACAGGCTTAGTTTGATAACACCACACTGGAATGCAATCATGGATCATATGATCACGTGGACTGCCGTGTAGATTGAAGTAGATGTGCTAAGTAGCCTACTTGTCCCCAGTGCTTGATGAAAGTAAGTGGATTTCAAGATGTTATTGGAAAATTTTAAATATGACTAAAGCAAAAAGATTTTAGGGGCAAATTTTGAGGCAGAGATGATCTGATTAAATGTTTACATGGCAGATGGAGAGGATGAGGGGTACTACGGATGCCTGGCTCCATCAGTTTGTAGGCCCTTTTATCAGAAACACACACATGAGTCAGGAGGGAATATTGCAAACATCTGATTCCTTAAGTGCCTTGCTTCAGTATTCCCATGATAAAATTCATTGCAAATATTACCATTATTTAAATATGTAGCTGTAGCTTTAGTGCAATATACAATTAAGACAATACCTCTAGCATTTCGGAGCCTTGTCATGTAGCACAGAATTAGTAATGCCCTGAAAGAGGAACCCTCAAGGTTTACTTGGTGATATTTTTTAGCATGTATTGGCCACCTCCTCTGTGCCAGGTACAAGCACTCGAGGTAATGATGATGAAAGTGGTGAGAAAGAGTTTGGTTGCCCTGAGCTGCCATTCACAGCCTTCGCCTTGCTCCTCTGTTGGCTGCTGTGTTTGTGAGGTTTCCTGGGCCCGGGACAAGGTACAACTTCTGGCTCTTGAATGGGCACCTGTTGTGAACTGACTGTGCCACCCCCCAATGCATACACCCAGTATAATGCTATTTGGAAATGGGGTCTTAGCAAGGTATGTGGGGTTAGATGAGGTCATGAAGGTGGGGCCCTTATAACGGGATTATCCCCTTATAAGAAGAGACACCAAAGAGCTCGTTTGCATTCTCTCTGAATGTTCACAAAAAAGAGGTCACGTGAGTCTACAGCAAGGTGGTACCTAGCAAAATTCCGGTGTTTAAGCCCCCCAGTCCATGGTATTTTCTTCTGGCAGCCCAAACTAACTAAGACAACACCTTACCTGGAGGTAAAGCAAACTAGCCTAGATTTGGATTACAAGCTAAGTTGGCCACCGTGCTCTCGACAGTTGAACTAACTGAATCAAACTGCCAGTTATCAACCCCAGAAAGTAGACAAGGAATTTCCCTCCCTAGGCTTATTTGTAAGTAGAAAAGAAAGCCATCCAAGACATTTTTTCCCCCTCAGTTAAATGGTGAATCAATAAAGAGTCGTGAATCCACCTATACACTGACCTCATCTGATGAGAACATGATTTCATGATCAATTAGACCAAATCTCCTAAGTATCTTGGAGCCTTATGATTAGGGCATTAAAGAAAGAGCAATTCTAGCTGGGGGGAAAAAATCAATTTATTAGAAATATTCTTCCATTAATTAATTGGAGATGTTTACTAAACATAAAACTATTTTTTAAGCCTTGGCAGGTTATCTTTAAAATCAGTAGCGAAAATATATTTGTTATAGTGACACCATATAAAAGAATATATGATCCTATTTCCAGGCTATTTCCGGCTAGAGATCCACATCTTTGTAATGCTCAGTGCTTGGTTCAATTGCCTTACCCCAATATTCTTAATTAAGGATCAACACAGTTCATTTTTGATAAGAGTAAACACCCAATTTGCTAGCAGAAGGGCAAAGAATTATGAGTAATTGAAATGTGGAGTTTGGGATAAAATGCAAGATAAACAATGTAATTTTTGCAGAATGTAACAAACTGATCTAATAATTTAAACTAAAATAGTAAGTTATATTCCTGAATTAATTTTAATAACTAACCAATATTTAATGGGTGAAGTTTTTTTACTGGAAAACCACTTGAATGGAATGTGATGGAGGGAAGTTAAAATCTAAATTTTGGAGTTAAGCGAAATGATCTTTATGGTCTCTTCTAATCCTGAGATTCTTTCTATGAAAAAGAATTTCAAAGTATTTTTTCATCTACAAATAAAAAGGCTAATAATTTGTCTGGAATTCTGATCTTGCTCACATATGCATTTAAATCTTTTTTCAAAAAGAACATTTGGGATTTAAGTAAGCACATCAAAAAAGAAAAAAAAAATGTTGTCTCTTCTACCCACACACTTATCCATTTGAGCAAGAAAAAAAAATGAAACACATTATTTGGGTAAAGAAAAAAATCACACAATTTTAAATTTCAGTTGGTTTGTAAATACTGTAGTTATTTGAATTCAAATCACTGATAAGTTTCTTCAGGCAGAAACTCACTATAGACCTTTGCACGCAAAAGACATCAAGAGTGTATTTCTTCAGCTATATGAAATCAATTTCTATTTCAAATCTGATTAAGTGTAACAGGAAAAGATTGTGAAATAAAACTTTCTGAGTAATACAGTATACTTTAGTGGTCCTAAATAGGTCATATAAGATTCATGATTCACTTGGTAAAGAAAAGAGAATGACAGAATAAAATAAACCCCTGCAAATAAAATAGGCTAAATTTTGTATTTTTGGAAAGTACAATGATTTTAAGGAAATCATATGTATTCAGAATTTAAGCTTCAGCTCCAAACTACTGACATCAAATACCCTAAGTTATTCTGAATTTACAGAAATCCCAGGAATTATTTTCTAAGAATCTAAGATGAAGATTGTGTGCATTTGCAAGCATGTAAGCGTGCAAAATTCATATCAAAGCACTTTCAGTTGCAGTGATCATATAGATGTTTCCCCCAAAAAAATCTGATCAAAACTTTAGAGTCAATAGCCCTATCCCACTAGCACCAATGATAAAATACTGCTTAGTGAAATGCAGTTAGACTTAAATAAAATCATTTTTTTAGTAAACTACAGTTAATATTCACTGAAACCCTGTATATAAAACATATATGTGGATATAGTAAGAGTTATGATTGATTTATTTTTTTAATTTTTATTGAATGATTTTTAAACAGATTCACACTACAAAAGAATGTATACTTGTATTGAATTCCAGCTATTTTGGACAAGATATACAAAATCACTTTTTATTATAACCTAATCAAATGTTCTTTTGCATACTAATCAAGGGTATAAGTCCCCATTCTTTCAAAAAAAAAAAAAACCAAGTAAAATAAATTTGAACTCTGGCAGAATCAGTGACTTAGGTGAGTCATGAGAGAAAAGAATGTGTGCCCTAGAAACTGCCAAAAATAGCAGACCAGAAATTAGGCTTGCAATTCCTGAATTTTATGGTGCACTCAACTGCAAATCACTAAAACCCTTTAGACATAATGGCCTGAACAAACTCACTTTTACTACCATTCAGCAAATATCTGTTCATTCAAGAAATGTGTGAGTAACGACTGTGTTTTGCCTGAAGACAGCCACCGGTTCTGTCTGCTGGGGCCACCATGACGGCCTGAGCCAGTGTGCGGCCTTGGCCCGTGATGAAGAGAATCAGAATCTTCTTTTAAAAATTGTATGTGTAAATTATATTCATTTTAAGGGATTTATCTAAAACTGCTAGTCAGAGAAATCGCCAAAATAATATGTGTGTGGCCCTATTAAGAAAGCTGAAATCTATCAAGGGGAAAAAGGCTCTCTCTTGAGAAAGATTAAAATTCTTGGTCCTAAAACTCTTAACACCTCATACATAGAAGACTAGCATTAAATGAAGAGGCTTTCAAAACATGACCATTTATAACTTGTGAACTGTCTTCCTTCTGCCTTCATGAAAAGTCCACGTTCTGAACATTAGTTAAATAAAAACTTGAGATCTTAAAATAATCTCAGCTTCCCTGTTTTTAAACTAGATTCATTTCATAGAACAAAGTATTTCTCCCATTTTTAAATAATACACACTTCAGTTGACATTTTTTAAAGCAGTAAAATAGTTGCTAGCTTTGTTTATAAAATTTGCTGTATCTTGCAATTCTTAAAAACACCACCAACAACAACTAAACCAAAGTTTCTCAGACCCAACAGAAAACACTATATAAACATGGAGGGCATGAGCTGAATGGGTCCATCTCCAAGTAATACAAGCCGTTGTAAATTATTGTCTCTACCCTGATGCTAATCATGTCACTGTCTCTATCTGTATATGCAGTTTCCCCTTTAATATGCAACCAGCACCCTATTAGATTCTTGATAGAGTAGGACCCTGAGAATAAGTCCATTAAGAAATCACATATTATTTATAGTACCAGTTTGAAGTTTTAAAGTGTCTAATCTTAAGAAGGCAGAAAGAAACAAAAGACTTCCCATAAATGATACTTATCACCCTGTAAAGAAGAATATATACTTGGCATTGAGGTGCCCATCTAGTTTCAGTTATTTATGCCTAGGTATTTTTTAAACAGATAAAAATCTCCTAATTTTGAAACGATAAATTTATAAAAATGTTGTTGATAGGGTTCGAGTCCAGGCATAACCTAGGAAGTGATCTTGCTACAATAATCATAACTGGAGTGCTCTGCGATTTAAATAATCCATTGACTCACTGCAGGTTTTTGTTAGCCGTAAGTACAGTTGGCATTATTTCCATGAATCCAGAGGCAGATCTGGGCGTACTTGAGGGGAGTGATGCGCACCGCCACGTTGTAGTCCTTCTGCACACCGTGGACATCCACCCACTGGTGGCCTGAATAGACCGCAATGATTTTGCGCTTCCAATTCTTCTTGTCTGGCTCTTTCAGACGCAGATAGACCCCGGAACCAGTGGAGCCTGACTCGGCGTCGCAGTATTGATAGAGGAGATCACTGGATTCGTCGGACACGCTACAAAACCTGTAGACTAACTGATCGGCCCTATCATGATCAAATCCTGAGAAGTGGATCATTCCCCCAGGCAGCTTCTTGATGGTTGGACTGATTCCTAGTTCCATGTATTTCTTTTTGTGAGCGCGCTTCAACTCCAGAAGAGCATAGTCATAGTCCAAGGCAGCATCCCCCTTCCCTCCTCTGGCCCAGCCTTTGGGAATGTGCGTATTCTTGACCCGGGTCCACTGGAAGGAGGGCCTCCCCTCAGGGACTCTACGACCCCGACCAGATTCCTTTCTTCTTCTTCCAGCCTTGGCTCTCTCCAGATTGTCTGTGGTATCCTCTCGCTGGTCGCCACCATTGGCTTCTCTCCTGCTCCTCTTAGAACCCCTCCGTTTCTTGCCACTGCCCTTATTTCTCATCTTCAACAACCCTACCCTTAGCTTTTTACTCCCTTTGATGTAGTCCTTCCCGTCATGCACACAGTGGGCAGCTGTTAGAACATGGCTGGGGGAAATGAGAATACCACTGCAGCCCGTGGAGAGCTTCACGGCTGTGTTGAAAGGGAAGTTGGTTAAGAACTTTTTGTCCAAGATGCTGAACCTGCTGTCTGTGCCATATACCTGTCTCTTCCTCCTAACAGATGCCCCTTTCATGCTGACATTTTGAGTGGGCTCAAGGACCACATCTCGGACTTTCACTCTGGTCAAGGTTCGGGTGCCATTCTCAAAGACAGTCTCGTAGGAAAGAGAATCTTCCAGATCAGAAAGGCTGGGAGGTGGGAGTTCTTTCTGGCATTCAATGCCACACACTCTATTGAGCACCATCTTAGCATCTGCCTCAAAGGTGGGGCTGGTAAGATGGAAAGTCCTTTCACTGACAACCCGGGGGATTTTTCTTAAGTGCCACACAAAATCCTGTTCCATTTCGGATCCATCAATGAGGGTCCACCCGAGGGTGAAAAATATCCAACAAAATAACATATTTGCCATTTTGTTCTTCTCTTCTGTCCTTAAAAATATAAAAAGAAAGAGAAGCTTTATAATGTTCTCTTTTTAACTACGTTACTTATCATTTCATTTAGGCCTTGAGTCCTTAATGTACCATCACCACAAATAGGAGTCCTTATTAGATTTTACCAAGATTAGAGAAACACCTTGCTAAGTAGGCTCACACAGACTTCCAAAATTAGTAAATTGTATTTCACCCAATCTTCCTTCCACCAGCCTTAACCCACCATCCCCCACCCCCACCTGCCATCTCCGCCTCTATCTCCCCAGACAACCCAGTGCATGGGAGGGTTAGATGGGGTGGTGAACCGGGGTCCCCTATTGCCTGAGCCACTCTCCCTTCCTAGGTCTCCTACAACCTTATTTCTAGGTGATTTAGAAATAAAGGTAGCAGCAGATGTCCGGCATTTTCCCCTGCACTTAGCTCTTCAAGAGCAGGGATCATAAATTCCTCATCTCTGGAGCATAAATGCCTAGCACAGAGCTCAGAAAATGTTCATTATAATACAGTGAATTTCCTTAAACCATGGTTTGCAGACCAAGCTGACCGATGGTGCGATGTACCATGCACTTTTCTTAAAACCAAGTTGTGCTTGGAACTACCATCTAAGCAAAGCAACATACAAAATGCCTCACTGTAGAACTTTACTGTAGATTCAAATTAGTTGTAAGAATTTAAGGCTGTGGTTCTGAATTTGCCACTTGGGAGAACATGATCACGATTAAATATAGTCCCTTTCATCATTAGTCTCCTCATCTAAGAGCGGTGTTTTTGTTAAATATGTTTTCAGTTGCCAGTGTTTGATAAATTATGTAATACCCCTTGTACTGTTTACATCTTCTTGCCCTCTTTTCCTGCTTCTCTAGGCTCACTGGTATGTAAAGCTATTTCATAGAATTGATGTTTGCCAGTTTTTGCCCTGTGTGGGTGGGGACAGTGCTAGTGTTCTTTGGAGCAGCAGTTTTGAACTTCCAGGTCACTACTGTTTGTGAGCTCTGCTCCAAGTCTCTCTTTTTTTTAAAGATTTTATTTATTTATTTGACCGAGAGAGACACAGCGAGAGAGGGAACACAAGCAGGGGGAGTGGGAGAGAGAGAAGCAGGCTTCCCGCCGAGCAGGGAGCCCAATGCGGGGCTTGATGCCAGGACCCTGGGATCATGACCTGAGCCGAAGGCAGATGCTTAACGACTGAGCCACCCAGGCGCCCCATGCTCTAAGTCTCTTAAACTAATAGTTAAAATATCAAGGCTTAGCATATGCTATTCATTTTATAGAAAGCTGAGACAATTCAAGGTTAGATTATTCCTACAATGCCTTTACTCGCAGTGTTTTCTGAGAAGGCTGGTTTTTGGTTTGGGTTGGGGGGGTGGTGGTTGGCATGGAAAAAAAGCTAATGAGAAATGTTAGGAAGGGCCCACAACTCAGTGTAAGATCCTGTGCACTGTCATGAAAAGCAAAAGTTGTCTCCGAGGCAGAGCTGAATATGGGCAGCTCTCTCTCTTTTTTTTTTTTTAAGATTTTATTTATTTACTTGAGAGAGACAGAGAGAATGAGAGAGAGAGCACTAGCAGGGTGAGGGGCAGAGGGAGAAGCAGACTCCCCACCAAGCAGGGAGCCCGATGTGGGGCTCGATCCCAGGACCCTGAGATCATGACCTGAGCAGACACTTAACTGAGCCACCCAGGGCGCCTGAATATGGGCATCTCTTGACACAACAGAGTTCATTTGGCCCATATACAAGTAGATAAGTTTGTTAACAACACTAATGACATTCTTTTGATACAACAAAAACATTTACTACATGAACCACTTTATTGTTTAAACATGATATATTCACTGAAACATGACGTTAATTTGTATCATAACATATTTGAACATATTAAGTGAATTCAGAATAATCTTTACCATGACTTGCATCAGCAAAATTACACAGAAGTTTTGCAATTTCCATTTTTTATCTACTCATACTTGCATGCAGAGCAGTGGTGATTCTGGTTAATATTAGACTGTCTTGTTTGCTAAATAGCTTGTAATTTGTTTTACTTTGGAGACAGGGCATTCTTCTGTACAGAGTGATGGATAACATCAAAAAATCAATAAAGAAAAAAATCCACACTCATGTCACAATATTTTCTAATCATCATCATGGCAAATGTCACTTTATACAAAGCTATAATTATATTGGTAATGATGTTGTTGAGCCCGTTAGTATTTTCTTTTGTTATCTCCAATGAAATTTTCACAATGACTCTTTCATCAATTTCATTTAATTGAATTGGAGTGAAAAAGGCTAACAACTCAGTAACTCTATTGAGGCCTTGAAATCATGTTTTAGTGGGTAGTTCCCAAGATGAAAAATTATGTCTTTGTCCAAAAAAAAAAGCTAAAATCAGAGTTATTTGCTGCCACTTAGCCTAAGAACAGAGCAAAATAGATTATTTTTAAAAATATATGTGTGTGGGCGCCTGGGTGGCTCAGTTGGTTGGGCGACTGCCTTCGGCTCAGGTCATGATCCTGGAGTCCCAGGATCGAGTCCCACATCGGGCTCCCTGCTCGGC